TTTATGATTCCTTCATTACCAACGGTAGAATGGAAGAGTGTTAGAAGTTACTTCGATTTTTAATAAAGGTGGGCTGAAACGTTCTTAGGCTGGCATAGAAAATTTTTTTTTGATAGAACTGGATTTTATTATTCAATATAGTTCCCTTCGATAGCGATACAATGATTATACAATTTTTCGATACCATTTTTATAATATGAGTCTTTAGCCTCAAAATAGGCTTCAGTCTCGGCGATTACCTCTTCATCGGCGCGAAACTTCTGTCCAGCGAGAATCCTTTTGAGGTCTGAGAACAGAAAAAAGTCGCTAGGGGCCAGATCTGGAGAGTACGGTGGCTGCGGAAGCAATTCGAAGCCCAATTCATGTAATTTTGCTATTGATTTCAGTGATTTGTGACACGGTGCATTGTCTTGATGAAACAGCACTTTATTTTTCTTCAAATGACGCCGCTTTTCCGCGATTTCGTCCTTTAAACGCTCCAATAACGCTACGTAATAGTCGCTGTTTATGGTTTTCCCTGTTTGAGATAATCAATGAATATTATACCATGAGTATCCCAGAATACTGATGCCATAACCTTGCCAGCCGACTTTTGCGCCTTTGGAGTCGGTTCATCACGTGCAGTCCACTCGGCTGACTGTTGATTGGACTCCGGTGTGAAATGATGGAGCCATGTTTCATCCATCGTCACATATTGATGCAAAAATTCGGATTTATTACCATTAAACAGCTCCAAACACTGCTTAGAATCATCGATTCGTTGTTGTTTTTGGTCGATTGTGAGCTCGCCCGGCACCCACTTTGAACAGAGCTTTCGCATATCCAAATATTCATTCACGATATGACGAACACGTTCCTTTGATATCTTTAGGGTCTCAGCTATCTCAATCAACTTCACTTTACGGTTATCAAAAATTATTTTGTGGACTTTTTTGATGTTTTCGTCTGTAACAGCCTCTTTGGGGCGTCCACTGCGTGCATCGTCCTCGGTACTCATTTCGCCTCGTTTAAATTTAGCGAACCACTTCTCTACGGTAGGTTTTTCTGGTGCAAAGTCCGAATAATGTTCATCAAGCCAAGCCTTGTTTTCAACAGTTTTTTTTTCGCCAAAAAGCAATACTTTATTAGCACACGAAATTCCTTTTCATCCATTTTTTCAAAGTAATAAAATTTCTTTCACTAAAAATGCTATAACTCAGGTACTAATAGTGCAACAGCTGTCAAATTTAGACACGCGTCGTTTGAAGGTTAGGGCTAACTGAAAATCATATGGATTTGATACTATTAGTGCAATCTATGTGTGAGCCTACGAACTTTTCACCCCGCCTAAGCTTTCCTATTTTTGAATCTTCATAACACAAGAGATGAAGATATGACATATACACACTCCTTAAAGTGTTTTGAAGGGTACTCCATGTAAAATTTATCTAAGAATTCTGGTTGCTACGTTCAAAACCCTTTTAGTTATTTTAACCTGTTGATGGCTTGTCCTTCCGGTAAACATTAGCGTGTATGTTTAGCTTTTGCTTGGAGTGATCCACCAGACAGCGATAGCACTTTTAAAGAGATGAAAGAAATAAACCGGCAATAAATTATATTGGAAAAAAGAGGGACGCTCTACTTAAGGCAGGTCGCAGGTCGAAGTGTGTCTGCTCTCTTGATCACTCATTGCCGACGGTCTGGTCAGATCCCAAACAGAGATTGAGAAACGAATTTTTTTATGATAAGTCAGATATTTGATATTCAATAGATAAGCCAAAAAGGTTGGTTGTGCAAACAATAAATTATGATACACAAGTTGACTGGTATAATAAGGTAGCGGTTCAATGAAAATGGATTTTCTTTCTTTTCCAAAACACTCAAACAACAACTGATTATCCATGCTAAATCTACTAAACGTAAAGGTTAGAAAACTACTACTTTTTTTTCTAGCTACTGTCAATTTCTTTGTGAGCGAAAAACACAAAATATTGCTTTTGCCTTTGAGATGTCGCGCCGCCGACTGCATAAGCGTACGGCTGGTTGTCCCACTACCACATTATTAAGAAGAAAATACATGGATTACTATTAACACCTAAAATTTAAAAGATTATCCTGAGCCTCCTCCCAAATTTTTTTCTGGATAACAACACTCAATTATCATCGCAAAATCAACCACAACAGTGGCACGCCTACAAATTACTTTTATGAGCACGTTTCAACTTTCCGTCATCGGACTAAACTAGGTATTCTCAGATGAATAAAATGGACAAATCTTAACTGTTTATATTAGCATCAGGACGATTTCTGGAAAAGCAAAAATACTATATACCCACTTGAATTTCCGCTTAAAGTTGCTGAGTCTACTAGTATGTCTACAAAGAAAGAAGTATGTAGACCAGAATGCAGTTTTTTATACATACAGAAAGTTTTAAACTACTGGTGAAATACTTTTCAAGAAGGATAAATAGCCAGCGCTAATTTCGTAATCTAAATGTTTTTCATATTTACATTACGGCTTGTTTATTCAATACCTATCATATCAGAATTAATCAAACAACCTGCTTCTCCGTGAATATTGAAATTTTTTGCTTTTCAAAAGCCTGGAGATATTTTACAAATAGAGATGTCATCTGCTTTGAAAATCACACCATATTCGAAGTTTAATTAGGCCAGTACCTCGTCAACAGCAATAGACTAGCGCCACTTGAGATAACCCAACGAAGCCAACGGCCCTACAGAATGCGGTTTCTTTTATCTATAATTGAGGAGCTTGCAATCAAAAGGGTCCTATATCCATTATTTGCATATTTTGACTTTTTCATTGATTTCGTCCAAGCTTGATGAGCTTTCCTGGGTCCTAAAACATCTATGTTTGTAAATGTATCCTCATTCCACTTTTATTCGTTTTCAAGATATTATAAGTCAGGTTCAAAAATATGTACCTATTTACGTTATGTTTTTTGACGGCATAGTTCTATAGTATGACTTTTAAAATGTGCCTACTGATCGCTCTGTCAAACTGCCTTGCAATCATCCTGGAAACTCATTTTTCCATTCTTGCTAATATAGGATTGTGAATATCTCTCTGTTTTACCCCTGAATTCATCACCTCACATTTTAATTAAATATTTATTTTGAAAACAGACAGGCTTCAGTTTCCTTATGGTTTGTCGAAAAGTCTCTACCTTTTGTGCGCACAAGAATCAATTCAGGGATAGCGGAGTAAGGAATGAGGATATGCTTACGTAATCATAGGCAACCCAAATCTACACCATTGTGCCTAACTGCCCGAGTGTGTATGCATATGTTTAGATTGATATATGGCATAAAGCTACAGAGACTACATAAATTCCACTTTTAGCTATACTTTTGGTTCCAGCTCTTATTTCGCAAAAAAGTCTGGGAAAACAAAAATATTTGAATTATTTTGTAAAATCGGTAGAAATACCGAAACATGCGGTTCATGTCACAAGTTTTAACATCCATAGAAGATATGAAACTTGCAATATGCATTTTTATTCTGTTTTGCGTTTGTGTGCAAATTGTGGACTTCGGATATAAGAGATATAAAACGTGATAACAATTTATAGAAATACAAATTTGCTTTAAATAAGAGCACTACCACCCCAGTCAATTTGTTTATACTTGCACTTAACAATGTGAATAATTATTATTCTATTGCAAACATCATTACGCCTCAAATTCTATGTACTCGTATATATTTCATTTGAACCTTCTATTTTTCATAAGGTCTTGACAAAATGTAAAATAGCAAAGGTAGCGAAAATATCCGGTGGGCTAGCAGCACTGCTGCCAATTGGCCTGAACGACAGCTGTCAGGATCTGTGTAAAGCCCCGGGGACCGACGGAGCCGTTTGAGATATCATGGCGTTAATTTTGAAATTTTCATTTGAATTGTTTCAAGTATTGCTCAACGACGAGCCGGTTAATCGAATTCAAAAGACAAGCTATTTAATTAACCGGTCATTTTTTCCCATCCCTAATGTATTTTCACCAGTATCCATTACGTTTTGACGTCTAGTGAGGTACATAGTTGATCACAGAAGCGACATATTTGTATTGGACTGTAACGTTGGTGATAATGAATTCCAGGACCGTATTCAGAGCGGTTTTTCAATTATCAGGATTATACTTTTGATTGAGAATTTTGTCAATAAAATGTACGGAGTGCATACAAAAAATGTTTATTAGAAAATTGTTATGGTATATCTGGGATTTATCGAAGACAAGGACAATAGAACAAGCTGCATTGTCCTTTCCAATAGCTGTAATTTTACCTGCAAGAATACTATGAACACGTGTTTCTGGTTAATTGTCCCTGATCAGTGTAACGTAATTCAAATACAGGTTAAGTTTCAGAAGAAGCTATCATAAAAATTAATAATATATATGTATATATACATATAGAGAGAAAATGATCATGCGGAGAAAGGTATACAAGTTATGATGCAGAAAAGGATGCACGTGGAAGAAGAAAGTGCTGAGGAAAGCATCCTTACCGAGATGATAAATAGATGTTCTTGATGCTTTCCAGACCATTCATTACTCATTACTCGTTTTGTTCGCATTATTGTACATCTATCCATTATAAAATATCAAGTATATTGTATTGTCTTGTAAAAGTAAAAATAAAGTTTTTTAAAAACCCGAACGGCCAACTCGGCAACATAACTGGCGCAGTCACCAGTAGGATAAAACGCAGTTTTCCGAAAATTCGCGGTATCGTGACCGGTTTCGTGAAAACGTGGGTATCGTCCCTTCGGCGTTCGACCTACAGAAACGAACGAGAATCCACAGCCCAAGAGCGAGAAGTTGGCCCCTTGCTTCTGCCTGTCGCCAAGAAGATAGGAGTAGAAGGTAAGAGCCAAAATTCCTTTTCGCCCCATTTAAATTGATTTCCCTGTATAGGAGATCTTATTTGAAAAGTTGTGATTTTATGTCATTATCAGACATTATCAACGAGTTAAATAACTTAAGAATTAATAATACTGATTCAGAATCAGAATCTGAAGAAATGGCATTCCCAGAAAATAGCTTACAAATGTTACGCATGTTTGTAGATACAATACCAAATTTTGATGGTAATTTCAATACACTACCAAACTTCCTTTCATCATGTGATTATCTATTCGACACATTCAACACTTCTGAAGAAACGATTAAGAGATACTTGTTGAGAGTGGTACAGACTAAATTAGTTGGTAGGGCTCAACTTTTGGTTGGCTGTAGAACAGAATTAAATAGCTGGTCTTTAATAAAAAATGCTTTAGAGCAGTGTTTTGGTGATAATAGAAGTTTAGAATGCTTGGAACAAGATCTATTTCTGGCCTCACCAAATAGAAATGAGTCACCCTTAGATTTTGGAAAAAGACTTCAAATTTTAAGGAGTACTCTTGCACAGAAATTGAGTATTTCAGACTCAACGCCCGAAGTAAAAGTCGCAATGATGAAACAGTACGACGGTATCTGTTTGAGAGCATTTGTGCGCGGATTATCAGGACGTTTACAAACGGTTATTCGTTTGAAAAATCCTTCATCTCTAGAAGAAGCAATGGCATATATTATTGAGGAAGAAAATTTCCAGTATACGCAAAACGTTTTCAAATTCCCAAATCACTCAAAGACTCCATGTAGTAACACACAAAATTCATATTCCAAACCACAGACAAAGTTTGGACATTCAAATAACAATTACCGTAATCAGGCACCAAATCAGAATTTTCATTATCAAAAATTTCAAGCTCCTCATCAGTCGAATTTTCAACAAAGTTATCGACCTCCACAAACTTTTCCAGCTGACAGAAACCGGAATAATTTCCCAAGTCGGCCGATAAACATCCAAAGTCGAAATAATAATTTTCAAAAACGCTATCCAACAAATCAAGAAGTTTTCGGACCACCCAGAAACACGAACGTCTTCAAGCCCAGGGGAACAGTACCGCATAATTCCCCATAGCCTATGTCAGTTTCAACCACAAATACTTATAAACCGAACTATCCCCAAAGGCAAAATCATTTCCAGCCCTCGGGACCCAGAAATTTCATTGCGGAAGAACTATATCAAATAGATGACACTCAAAACGACGAAAGATACGAAACCGAACAACCCGAAAGAACCAGAAATCCAAAACCATTTTCAAAAACTCAAAATGTTGAAGCTCAACATGCTTCTGCCTCTTCGTCCACAAATTATGAATCAGATCCAAATTTTTATTACAAGGGCCAAGGCACCCACAAAACATAATCGAAATCCATTCCGATCTTGACAACTCTTTACCCTACATCAAAATTCAAAATCCACCCTTAAAGTTACTCATTGACACAGGATGTTCACATTCGATGATACGCCCTAGAATAGTAGAAAAATACTTTCCAGAACGTATTTACCATTCAGTTTCAAGATTAAAGACAGGCGTAGGAGAAAAAGAAGTTCAATTTAAAGCCGATCTGCCATCATTCCCAGAATTTGAATCAGATGATTTTATCACTTTCATTTTATTTGATTTCCATCCATTTTTTGACGGCATATTAGGATTAAAACAATTACTACGTTTAGATCTCATCATAGACCTTACTAATCGACATTTAATTAGTGAGTCATTGCGTATTCCCATATTTTTCCGTGAACTTGACACTGAACCATATAGCATAACGATAAATGCACACGAGGTAGCTCTTATCAAAGTTCCTGTGAGCATTAACAATAGCCCCGTTATAATCCCTGAAGGTGAAATAAATGGCTTATATTTCCCTGAAACCTTGACTATTTCGAATGAATGGTTTGCTTATACAGAAGTTTATAACCATTCAGATGAACAAATAACGATAGACTTTTCAAATCCGTTAGACGTAATATTCTAAAGAAGTTAGTGATAACTTTTATATTTTTCATATTGAGGATATTATTGGTGAACTAAAACATAGTGACGAAAGCATACAGAAAGTATCGAAATTAATTAGGACTGATCATTTGGACAGTGAGGAAAAACAGACTTTATTAAAAGTTTGCCATGAGTTTAGGGATATATTTTACAATGAAAACGAAAAGCTAACATTCACTAATATTATTAAACATGAAATAAAAACTACTGATGAAATTCCAGTACATACAAAAAATTATCGTTATCCCTTTGTTCATAAAGAGGAAGTTCAAAGACAGATAAATAAAATGTTAGACGATGGAATTATACGTCCTAGTCAAAGTCCTTATAGCTCACCTATCTGGATCGTTAGTAAAAAGATGGATGCTAGTGGGAAACAAAAATGGAGAATAGTAACAGATTTTCGAAAGCTGAACGAAAAAACAATAAGTGATCGATATCCATTACCTAATATTAACGATATATTGGACAAGTCACGTAGATGTCAATACTTCAGTACCTTAGATTTAGCTTCCGGATTTCAGCAAACAGAGATGCATCCAAACTCTATCGAAAAAACCGCTTTTAGTGTAGAACATGGACATTACGAGTATACCCGCTTACCATATGGTTTGAAAAATGCCCCAAGTACATTTCAGAGAGTAGTTGACAATGTTTTACAAGGATTACAAGGCAAAGTTTGTTTAGTATATATGGACGATATTATAATTTTTTCCACTAGTCTTGAAGAACATATTGCAAATTTGAAACTAGTATTTCGGAGACTAAGGGACACACAATTGAAAATTCAACCAGACAAATGTGAATTTTTATGCAAAGAAGTTGAATATTTAGGACACGTAGTTACTTGTGATGGTGTAAAACCGAATCCCAAAAAGATACAAGCAATAACACAATTCCCAATTCCAAAAACAGTCAAAGAAATCAAATCGTTCCTAGGTCTTTTAGGTTATTATAGACGCTTTATCGAAAATTTTGCCAAATTAACAAAACCACTTACGAAATGTCTTAAGAAAGGATCAAAAATTGAACATAATGCAGAATTTATGAAAGCTTTTGAAACTTGCAAAAATATTCTAACCAACGAACCTATTTTACAATACCCAGATTTTGAAAAGTCTTTTATTTTGACTACTGATGCCTCAAATTACGCAATAGGTTGTATTCTTAGCCAAGGAAAAGTAGGACAGGATCGACCGATTGCCTATGTATCACGAACTCTAAATCCAGCAGAATGTAATTATAGCACAATAGAAAAAGAATTATTAGCAGTAGTATATGGTGTGAAATACTTCAAACCATATCTATGGGGACGTGAGTTTACCATAGTTAGCGACCACAAACCCCTCGAATATTTGTTTAACATGAAAGAACATAACCCCAGACTTTTACGTTGGAAACTGTTTCTTGAACAGTTCAATTACAAAATTCAATATAAACCTGGAAAAATAAATAGCAATGTTGATGCTTTATCTCGTTTCTACAAGACGATGATAACCCCGAAATAAATATTGAAGACTTACAAGAACTAGAGGAATTTCTCATCCCTGAAGTTCCTGATAACTCTAACAAAATACAAATAATTTCAGATATCCAAATTGTACCCCCTCAGCCAAGTGATGACAGTATTACAGTCCATACAGCAGTAGAAAACCCCATATTAGAGATACCCTTCAATGAATATGTTACTAACAAATTTTCTAATCAGATAATTATAGAACAGAAATCGTCCTATCGATATCATATTGTAAGGACGAAGCCCTTCGAAAATGTTAATAAAATACAGTTACAGCTTAGCGATAACATAGAGCAAGAAATCATAAAGTTTTTCAAAGACTATGTTGATCCAAACAAAGTATATTGTATTTTTGTCAAAGGTTCAGAAATTGAAGATTTAAATATCCAGATTAGCAAAATACTACCATTGTATTTCAAAAACCACGCATATAAACTTTATTTTTCCAATCAGCTTGTTAGAGATATTTCAGACAAAGACAGACAAAAAGAATTAATCTCTCATCATCATAAAACAAAGACTTGTCACAGAGGAATTAACGAAACGTTACTTTCCCTTAAAAAACTATACTACTGGAAGAATATGCAAAAAATGGTAACAGAATACATAAATAATTGTGAGTTATGTCAAGTAGCAAAGTATGACAGACATCCAGCAAAAATAAAATTTTCACTTACACCAACGCCAAAGCAACCCCTAGAAGTCTTACATATGGACACTTTCCAATTTTCTAACACAAAATTTCTTACTGTTATTGATTCATTTTCAAAATATGCACAAGCCTATCATTTAGATCCAGTTTGCACAGCCACAACAGTGTATGAAAATATTTTGATATTTGTGAATCATCACGGCATTCCTCAATCAGTTACTACTGATAACGGAAGAGAATTCAACAATTCCTTATTTACTGAATTTTGTAAATTACACAAAATCCAGCTTCACTTTACTACACCATGTAATTCGAATAGCAACAGTCCCATAGAACGATTACATTCAACCCTGCTAGAACTCTTAAGAATTCTAAAAATTAAATTTCCAAAATTATGTCCAAAAGAACTAATGCAAAATGCAATTTTGGCATATAACACGTCAATTCACAGTGTTACAAAACAACGACCATTCGACCTTATAAATGGCCGCTTAGATGTCCTAGATCCATTTGACCTATCAGATGAAATCATTGTTAGCCAATTCATTGATGATAGACGTGAAAGACTAAAATTCATTTACAACAATATACACCAAGCAGCAGATGCTCATAAAAAGAATATTATAGAAAAGCGTAATAAAACTAGAGAAGATCCATCCAAATTCCCCCAAGCTTCGAAAGCATATGTCAAAGATAAAACCGCTTCTTGGAGTAAATTAAAACCAAGATTCACAAAAACTGAAGTTAAGAAAGATTTAGGTACAAAAGTACGGACTATCAATAAACGCAAAGGTTTAGTACACAAATCTCAAATTCAAAAACCTAAAGCTTATTCTTCTTTTCCGCAGGATCATGAATCTGGAAATCAAGAAGGTTCCGATAGTCATTCTATCCTTCTACTAGTCGCGACAACCAAAGCCAACAATGACGCAGTTGTCAACCCTTAAAAGCCCCGCTTTTCCCTTATTCGCTAGGTAACGCTAGTATTATAGATTCGTATCATACTTTTATTCACTTTGTAGAAACTACTTCATTAACAAGGCAGATTACGAATATCCAAAATTATTACGAAAAACTCCAAAATACTCAAGCCTTTAAATGCTGATCATTCAGACTTGCACTTTGGATTATCAAATCTCCTTAAGCATACGAAATTTCTGATACAAGAAGCTACCAAAAAATTAGATAACATTGTTCCACGTATTCGTCAGAAACGAGGATTGATTAATCTCGTAGGAAAAACTTCAAAGTTTCTTTTTGGTACAATGGACTCAGATGACGAAATCAAAATTAATAATGCACTTCATGAATTACAAAAGAACGCAAATTCTGTGCATAGTCAACTGAAACTTCAGACCTCACTAACTAAAGAATTGATAGATAGTTACAATTCTACAATTTCATTATTAAGCTCTAATCAGGTACAGATCAAAACGAAATTGTATAATCTGCAAAATGCGATGAATGGAACTGTAGGAAGCTTGACAGCTTATCTTCACGCTGAAAATATTTTACAGCAACTTAATCTAAATTGTCAAAATTTGATTACATTTTTAGACAATTTGGAGGACGCTATAATGTTTTCAAAATTTCAAACACTTTACATAGTTCTATCATATCAGTTTCAGACTTAGAGAAAATTATAAAGTATTTAGTAAAATTATATGGTAAAAAGAAAGTACCAAACCTTCAAAATTTACGATCATACTATTTAGTAGCTGATAAACAAATTACATTTACTGATAATAAAATCTTGTTTTCTATAAGATTTCCTATATTATCTGATGAAAAATTCCAATTTTTTCGTCTATACCCAGTTCCAATTAGAAATTCAACCATTATTCCAACCCATCCCTTTTTGGCTCTTGGAACAAGTCATCAACAATTTGAAGAAGAAGAATGTCCAG